CTTTAAAAAAAATGGGCTGGTTCTGCGGTACGAATGACAGACAACAGATGGACAAAACTGATTGCTAAGCAGAATCTATGCAACAAAAAATTAAACAGGATGCAAGAATACTAAAAATGGGTCGAACGTGCAAGGAGAGGCGCAACTTGTATGTAATGTACGTGAATTTTATCGCGACCCTGAAGGTTAATATTTCATACTGGTGGCATGCCCTATGCGTGTGTGTGTAGTAGTGGACACCTAGTCATATGTACATATTTATAACTACGCAAAATATAAAAGATAATATATATCACGACCCTAACTGTTAACTTATTAGGCTAGTGTGTGTCCCGTTCGTACGGGTGTGTATGTGTGTGTACGACGTCGCGTCCTATACACATATTTACTAAAACATAGTAAGTTAAAGAGAGAATACATGCAAAAGTGGCGAGGCTCTGGAGAGCCAAAGCCCCCCAGAAAAGGAGTATAAGTTAATTAAAAATAGGTCGCAGTGGTGGATGAGTAGTGACAATCCTGGCGATGGGGAGAAGTGCTTTTATACCCCAGAGGGCAAAGATCGAAAGTTTGAACCAGGGACAAGGGTTTTGCGCCACAGTAACGCAGTTGTTCTTTAACCTACTTTTAACAAAAAAAAGCATTAATCATTACTTGATCTAATGTTAAGACGACGACTTTACGATGCTGTTACGACGAGCTTCGGACGAGACTTGGATGAAAGCTGATGTGCTGTGGCGCTTAGTTGAGAGACTGGAGTAAACAAACGAAATTTATCAATACTATTACAAATTTACAAGTGAGTCGTTGGAAAGACGGGATCAAGTCGGACGACTGCAGCGGCAGCCGCTGCAGGCGAAGAGTGCTGATAGCTGGAATGCAGCAACACACTGCTGCAATGGAACGCTGGATGCCAAACACGGAACAGTGGGCACGGGACACACTGAACGACGATACTGAACACACTGAATTGCACAACAAATTTATAAGCTCACTCATCACAAAGGGCTGGACAGATCACAGGTCAATTTGCTGCGCGATTCTGGATTGCTCTTTGCTTCTCCTGCGCGCCATTTTTTGCTCGCTCTACACTATTACACGACATCCTTATAAACAAAAGATTGGACTACCCTCGATCCAAAGAACAAAAAAAGCTTTAATCATTATTTGAAAACAAAAACCATAAATCCGGTAATAGTTCATTAAGGACAACAATGTGAGGAGAGAAGAAAAAACAATAAAAATAAGGAGGAAAAAAAACAATAAAAATAAATTTAAAAAAATTAAAAGGGTCATGGCACAGCCATTTTTGTTTCTTATTGCCCATTTCTATTCCTCCTATGCCGCAAGCTGCCAAACTTCCATAATGCCGCTCCCCCTAAGAAGATAGAAACGACGACGCACCGTAAGAATGGATTTTGGCAGTGATAACCTTGATGAGATGCTGGAACAAATTGGCGACTCTATTGGAAATGCAAACTATCAGAAAGCCC